CCCACAGCCAAGACCCAGAGACGATGGCATCATTCCCGGCGGCTCTGTTGAGGTCCATACCCTAGGCGGGGGAGCCGCATCGCGTCAGTTATATGTCTTATGGCGAGTTGACGCTAGTTGTCAACGACAGGGTTCGATGCTCAGCTTGACGCCAACATAAAACTCGTAGCAATTCTAGGCTTCTATGGGGTGATGGCATGCAAATTGACTCAAAGCTTGACAGTTGAGAGATCTTCTCGCCTCGTCATCAAGACAAGCAATGGTGTCAATAACTCAACAACGACGCAACCTTTCAACATGGACACCACCCTATCCTATACGCCTGCAGTGTTTGGCAGCAATGTCACCCCAACTCAAGAGTTGACGTTCTACCTTTTTCGCTCGTATTTCGCAATTGTTCCTGCAGTTCATGCAACCTATACCCTACATCTCCTCGGACCTTCGGGACCTGTGCCACCTCAAGAGTGAGAAATGACAACAAGACTTGTAGGCGGTGAATGATCGATGGGAATATCTCGAACTGGACCATGTCTCTTCTGATCGTCGCTATCCGCTAGCAAATAGGACCTGGGCAGTGTTAGAATTATTGCGTTGGACACTCTATTCTGCCGCTGGTCTCTATTAGGCTGGCCAAGTTGGAAGTCGAAGATAGCCACCACTCGTGCTTATGGTCACACAAACAATTAGGCACGAGACCATAGCTCACGGAGAGTCATTGTGACACGTTCCAGCCCGTCCTCTGTATGTTGACACAGTAGCCACCTTACTCTAGGACTTGAGCGGTGCCAACTTGATGCCTATGGGTATTGGGGGATGGGAGGACGTCTCAAGGGAGGGGACTCCAAGCTATTTGGCATCCATGGATACCTGCATTTTTGTTAAGTATGCTAACAATGTGTTTGTAGGTGAGCCCTCAGCAGTAGCTCTTGTGTAAAATCCGTCCCTGTACGGAGTTACTAGTTAGAGAGGCATTCATGTGTATTAAGTAACTGCCAAGCTGGTACGCCGAACCGCACTGCCCTTTTTAAACGGATAATGGACTCTGCCTGGATGACTGGCTCTCGAACGACTGTAAGATTCAACCACACTGCACCGTCGTGCTCAAGTGAGAATCAATGAGTGGTGGTCTTTCAGCCCAGGAATGGTTGCTCATACGATTGTCACTGGTAGCCGAGCGCAGTATTAGGATCAATGCCGACATAAAATTCGTACAGGTAGACCTGGAGGTAAAATGCCTTCGTGGAATAGTCAGCTTACTCGCATTGCTCCCCCTGACGATATCACACACCACCATGGAGCGGCCACCATATGAGCAAACGGCGAGCGTAACATGTACCAAGACACAAAGCACCAGTTTTGTCTGTTGAGAACCTATGAATATACACATATGCGAAGTGTGCACGGCAATGGGAACTCGGCAAGATGGTAGTTTCAGCTCGAGTCTCGTTATTGCAATGACGTCTGCCATCTCACTGACACGCTGAAGCTATTCAAAAGAGCCACTACATCAGCGGCATTGATATTACACATGTATGCTAAACCCCTGGCTCTAAAAAGGAGAGGATGAGCCACGGGCAAAAAATAAATGGTATCCCGACAAAAAGTCCGTTCGCTGCCAAGTCGTTGTCGTTCCGACTCCAAGTACTCCATAATTCCTTTTCCTTCATTCCTTCACAGAGTCGCTATAATGAAGGGTTTGAGCGTCAAGCTCAGTAGTGTACGCAAAGAAAATTCCACGTCTCTCATTATCCGATACCCCCATGTTATGGGTGGTAGTATGTCTGGTGGACCGGTTCTCCCGGGACCTGTGGTGTCCGTCTGTCGGTCGCCAGCTCATGTGGTGTGCCAGTTGGAAAGTATCCGGGCTCAGTCTTGGATGTGTTAGATCCCATCGTGCCATCGTAGTGCGGACTCCCAGGAGAATGGCCTTGGTCCGGGACATGCATCATGCTCACCTGCGGGATCCAGACGTTGCCATGGGCATCGAACTTGGGTTCATTGCTTGCATGCGGAGATATGTGACCAGTGTTATCGACGTTTTCCGAGGGCAGTTCCACTGGTGGCCCTTGGTGAGGCTGGACTGTCTGTGGTCTTGACTGGAAAGGAGGTGGGCTCGCAGGGTTAAAGGTAGACGACTGCGGACTCCATGGGCCCGGCGAGTACTGGTTCGAGCTGACGGAAGGGTGGGCAGGATGGTGATAGTCATATGGCTGTGACATGGCCTGTTGAGACCCGGTGCGGGTGTTTCGTCGTCGATGTCGTCGAACGAGGCAGAAAATGCCGAAGAGAGCAGCAATAAGAGCAACGGCTCCGCCAACCGCGATACCAACAATAGCCCCAGTTGAGAGCTTATCAGATCCACCGTTACCACCATCACCCGGTAGCTCTCGTGACGGGGTCCGTGATGCGACCGATGCCTTTCTCGTCATGAGGGCGTTGAGATCATCATGGTCAAAGCCACCTGCCGGCTTCGTCTTGGTTGCTCCGCCGTCCTTGTTGCCTCCCACGACCTTGATGACATCTGTTGGGACAACATATTTTGTCTTGTCGGGTTCGTAGAGAGCCCAAGGGGCCTTGTTCTCGTTCTGTCTGCCCAGGTCCATGAGGTGCAGGCCCCATTGATCCGGGACATCGCACACATCGTTGAGCGGGAAGAAGCCACCATGGACAAACATCTGAGCCTCGTTGACGACGTTACAGGTAAAGCTGTGGTGGGGGAAGGCTCCGGTCTTGTTAGTATCGGTGGGATACATCTTGATCCACTCAAAGGTCGGCATCGTCAAGATGTAGATATCGTCGAAGCCGATGCTGCCCTCTTCCTCGCCGCCACCTCCATAGAGATAGCTAAAAAACGTCAGCTTCCATATCAGTTGAGCCTAGTAGGAGGGTACTTACATATTGTATGAGGACTGGTCTTCCACCCAAGTAACGCCTGCGCAGAATCGTCGTCGTACCTCGGGAATATCGCCAGTCGCGTTTTGCATATAAAACTTTCCGCTCAGGACGTCATAGAGCATGATTTCTTCCATCGGTTGTGCTTCCCAACTGTCGTTTCCAGTCGCCCGGATTCCACCAAAGTAGACGAGCATGCCACCGTCTCCGACCGGGACGTAGACCATGACGCCCTCTGCTCTGCCTATATCATCAGGTCCAGTACTGTTAGTCCACCTCTCAGAGTCCATCTCATATCGGAGGAGGTAGGACGTTGGCACTTCGGGTGCATCTCCCCAATCAGGGACAGTCGCGTTGTTCATCCATCCTCCGTAATAGTAGGCCTCGCCTCGACTTGGGATGGAGACGCCAGCTCCGTAACTCAGTCCGACGATGTCGTTGTCCCTCGGGGACCCGAGATTCTGCCATAGATTGTTGATGATGTCGTATTGGTAGAGATCGAAATCCCATGGTGTCTCGTCATAGAACTCGCCGCCAAAGAGATAGATGTACTTGTTAACATCATCAGGCCAGAAGATGCCACCACTGACGTCAGGAATTGTCGAGTTCTTGCTGAGATTGGCATACGGCTGAGGCATGCCCGAGCCAGCGACAGCATTCAGGTCATGATAGATAAAGTAGGGGTCTGAGTTATCGCGTCAGTAGCTTCTTCCCAAAGAAGCATCTTGGCCGAGCCGAGATCCAAGATCGCCAAGACGGCCGGATCGACCTACTGGAGAAATTCTCTGGTGTTCCGGAACCACCATCATATGTGACCAAACCTCCTCCAATGTATAGCTTGTTGTCGACTACAGCACTCTGATGACCCCATCGTCGACAAAAGTTGTTTATCGGATCCCGTTGTTGAACCGCGACATTGACGTGGAAAGCAAGGAGTGCCAGCCCCAGCACCACCAATCGCTCGTGTAGTCGGCCGGTCGGAGACAGTGAGATCCACATCATGGCTTTCACCGCGACGTAGCATACATGCTCTCCGAGGATACGCGTCGATCACCAGTCGCTCTGGGTACCTGAGGAAGGCGATGTAATTCCAGACGGCCGAGATGGTCGAAATCTTCAATGTTCCGTGGGTGGTGACGAAGAAGAAAAAAGTCGACAGTGAAACAGGCTCGTCAAGCATAAGCAACACCCTAAGCCAGACGACGGACGCACGCTGATCATGGGCAGGGGAGCCCCAGCTGCCAGGAGAGGGAGCGCAACGGCAGATGAGAGTGGCGGAGGCGGCATCCGGGGCTGTCCATGTGTGTGGTCCAGACTCGCGCCAGACTCCCGCCGCCCGACGCCTCGGATTGGAGGTCCACTGTGCTGTGTGTGAGAGCGCCATGGGACGAACAACTCAGCAACAAGGCGCTGCCTTGAAAATCGGACGGCGAGGGGATGGCTGCATGCATGCGCTATGCCATCCACTCACTCTCACTCGACAGTACACAGCCAGCGGCTCAGCGCTCAGCGGCTCCCGTGTTCCTGCTAAAGTACAGTACGAGGTCGCGGGTGTGGTGAGACGAGATGCCATGTCTAGCACTGCGGTGCGACAGGCTTGTGCTGCTAGCCCACTCCTTGACCATCTTGATTCGCACAGGCCTGGGAGCTGGACGCAGCTAGGCAGGCCAGCAGATGAAGACCTGCCAATCGCGCGCTGCGGGCGTCCCTTTCAGCTCGTAGGGTCAACCAAGCTCGACGCCGTCCTGGCTCGGAGTCGCTCACAGGGCTGAATGGGGTGACACCCACTTCCTGTTGGGCTTGGGTTCTGCCCCCAGTCCCAATGTATACGTAACCAGTCCTTCGGGAAATCAGGAGACGGAAATTAGGAAACTCTAATAAAGTTCATGTCTCGAGGCCGTTGCAGTTGTCTCTGTCTCTTCCGGCCTGCGCGGGATGAACCCCTTTCTGAACGACCGCGCTTGTCTGACATGATCATGATGATGCTGCATGTCGCAAAACCCCTTGGCTGACCGATTTTGAAAACCTGCATCATATCTCTCACAATTGGGTCCTCCTGCCCCTGGTCTGGTCTCGCACAGCTCTCATCCATCCATCCATCCATCGACTCAGCCTCGGGGATCAGTTCCTTCAGCTAGACGCCGCAACCTTTCCATCCACCCATCAAGTGGGAGACCCAGCGCCGCACGGAAATCGCCGTCCAACAGTCCTTGCATAGGGTGCGCCTCCTGCTGCTGGTACCCGAGCCAAGCATCCTGGTTCTGCTCTTCAATGGCTTCCAGGTCCCGCGTGGCACAACCCGCCAAGTCGAGGTCCGTCGAAGCTGCATCATCACGAAGAGCCACAACTGAGAGGGATGCCCCAATTGCATTTCTGAAAGATTCCACGACAATCTCCTCTGCCTGGCCCTCGGGCATCAGTAGGTTCCCGTTTCGGATCAAACCTTCGAGCTCGGCCCCCGATAGTCGCCATTCTTGCCAGAGCGATGTCACCGCGCCTAGGCGACCTAGAAGGACTATGTAAGCCCGATAGATTTCCAGGGCCATCAGTGTAGCGCCATCGTCGCGCCGCTCCCGGAGGAAATGAATGGCAACAGTTCGAATTGATCCGTGTGCAGTGTGGCTTTCTGCAGCATGGGTATCGTTGCGGATACCCGTCAATAGACTCAGGAGGGTCTGTCTGTCGCCAATGTCGAGGAATTTTGACTCTGAATTGACACTGAGATGGTGCGAGTACGTCTCTAAAGTATCGAGGACGTCACCCAAAGCCTCATCCCCAAAGTATCCATCTCTAAAGGCGATATCGAGGTATTCCATGGTGGCTGCGGGCTTGCCCATCTCGGCTGAAAGCCTCAGCCCAAGCCCACACAACGGCTCGCCAATATGGGCGCCACTAGACGATAGTCTCTGGCTAAGGTTGCCAAGGAAAGCCAAGAGGTCGTGACAAGTTGCGCTTTTCTCCTGGCAGCCGTTCAGAATATTCGCGCATGCATCCCGAACCTCGCTAGAGAGGCTGGAAGGTGGTCGCCCTCGGCCGTTGTGGAGCGTCTGGTGAAAAGACGTGGCGTCCAGGCCTGAAGACAGACATTGTGAAACTAGCCTGCGAATGCCGATAACCGTGTCCTGCTCTCTTAGGGCTGATGCGAGCTGGCTGGGAGACGGGGGTTTGCTGGTCTGCTCGGACTGCGCCAATTGATTGCGTAGCTGAAACCAGTGAAGCAATAATTCGTCGTCCTGTTTGGCGTGATCCGGAATCCCATTTTTCGAGCAGATGGTGTGGAGAGTGTTGGATTGACCCGGTGTCTCGGTTTTCAGAACGTTAGCGAACCCTTGTTGGCCGTTGGAGGAGACTGGTGGGCCTGATGTTGAGCTAGATGGGGCTCCGTTGAGGGCTGCGGAGAGAATGTCATGGCTCCCGAGTTGCCAGGAACTGGTTGGGTCCATCGACATCTCGAAAACCTTGCGCCGGGACCAATCGACCTCGCTCAACAGCTCCTGGAGCCGGCTTCTCAATGCCTGGCGCTTGGGATCCACAGACCAGTGTTTGAGCATCTGAGCCTCATCGTCCTCGGTACACGTTCGCACGTGCTTACTGTCCATGTCGTCGAGGTCGAGGAGGAGATTATTGATCTGGAAGAGTTCCCGATTCGGTGGCGTCTTGGGTTTTGCCCTGCCCCATCTGTTGATGGCATAATATATTTCTCCGTTCTTGTCCTCTTTTTTGATGAACGTCTTTTGGCGGGTTTGTTGTGCTCCAGCGCTTAGCGTTGGTTTTGCGACCCGTGGTCTTCGGGCAGCTGCCGTGCGCATCATGTTGGCGATGGAAGGGAGATGAAAGGTTGGACACGTTGCAGCAGGCGTGAGAGGTAAAAAGCGTCAGAGAAAACAATTGCAGACGGAGGAGGCTTGAGGCAACACGCGACTTAAAAAAGTTGTGATATCATGTTGGGAATTTGAATAAAGCAAGGAGGAGTTGAAATTGGAAAGTGGGAGAAGGCAAGACCTTGCCGCGCATTCATTCCTGCTCTCCCCGCAGACACGCGACATCCTCGGATGGCTTTGACGCCCCTTACTTGACAAATCCCCGCCGTCATCAGCCGTGAAGCCCCCCCCAATTGCCTTGTACAGGCTGTTTTGGTTGAAGTTTACAGGCGTTCTTTCAGGCAGGTGCTGCCCCAACGGTCCGATTCCCCGCCCCGCAACCCCCTAAAACCTGGGGAAGTGGAGGCCGCTACGGCAATTGGAATGACCAGCGGCAGATCCGTGGCTGTGCGACTGAGCCACATCGGCGCCGCAATTACACTTTTCCGCTTGGCTGGTGTTGACAGTGACTCTTGATCTCGCATTAAGGTGAATGAACGGAGCAACTCAACAGAAATAACACAGTCAGAACACAACCAAAGCTTAGTTTTGTTTCCAACAACCTGAATTCACAACACTCCACGGAGCAACCGCATCACTTACTTCATCACATCAAACCGACAGTATGGCACCTCCAGCAAAGAAACGAAGAACAGAGGCGGTCGAACCGTCCTCTGCAGAAGAACCAGAGACTATTGAAGAAACCCCCGCCAAGGCAGGTGAGACCGACGAGCTCCCCAAGCCCGACGAGCTCCCCAAGCCCGACGACACAATCGCCACCGAATCATCCACCGAGAAGATGAATGACGCGCCAGCTCCCGATGCCAACCCTGCTTCTAAAGCCAAGGATCGAATGGCCCGCTTCAAGGCGCTTCAGGCGCGAGCAAAGACTTCAGCGGAAACGAACCTGAAGGAGGCTACCCTCGAGTCTCAACGACTAGCCACCGATCCCGCGCAACTCACTGCGCTGCACCGGAAACACGCCATCGCGTCGCACAAGCTGCTCAAGGCAGATGTGGAGGAAGCTGGCGAGGATTTCGAGCGCAAAAGAGCATGGGACTGGACTGTCGACGAGAGCGAGAAGTGGGACAAGCGACTCAAGAAGAAGGCGGCTCATCGCGACAACAACTCCTTTGCAGACCAGACGCAGGAGGCCAACAAGATATACAAGCGACAGCTCAGAAATATCAACTACGATATGGAAAAGTACGAAAAGGATAAGCAGGCTCTCATCGAGAAGGCTGCAGCATCGGGCGGTCTGGACATTGTCGAAACCGAGGACGGCGAGCTCATCGCTGTTGACAAGGATGGATCTTTCTACTCGACTGCGGATTCCACGACATTTTCTCAAAATAAGCCGGACAAGGCGGCGGTCGACCGTCTTGTGGCAGATCTGCAGAGAGCCGAAGAGCAGCGACTGAAGAAGAGAAAGGAGAGGATGGCACAGAATGGCGACGAAGGAGATGTGACATACATCAACGAAAAGAACAAGCAGTTCAACCAGAAGCTGTCTCGGTTCTATAACAAATACACTGCCGAGATCAGGGACAGCTTTGAACGAGGTACAATGATTTAGAGGGAGATGGTCCATAGATGGCGCTTTTTAGTCCCCCGGGGTATTATACAGTCTAGCGTTGTGCTTTTAATACATCATCGTAACCACGGCCACTACAGCATTGTTTTCCTCCATGCCTTGCTGGCAAGTTCCTCAATATCGGGCACTTCGAGCGCGCCCTTGACGCTCTCGTCGCCCAGGGCCTCAACCACAGCCTCGGCGACAGTCTCAACCTTCATCGGTTTGACGCCAGCCGCACCCATAAAGGTCTTGAAGTAGTTGCCGGTAAGATCGTTAAAGGCAGTGCCCAGGCCGACCATGGCAGCTAGAGGCACCGTAACGGGGCGTGAGCTATCAAACATGAAGGATGGTCGGATAAAGATGCCCCTCAGCTGAGGGAACTTGGTGGCAATGGTGACTTCGGCCTCTCGTTTGGTCGAGATGTAGCGTTGAGGAAGGACAGGCGCTCCTCCAGCAGCAGAGATGTAGCAGAGGGAGCTCACATTCGCAGCGGCGGCATGCTTTGCTAGAGTGACGGCACTGTCACGGTTCATGATCTCATACGAGAACTGGTCCTTGGGGTTGGGAGGCTTGATATCCTCGCCTTGTCCTCGCTGCAGCGGATCGACACCGCGGTCGCGGACAGGCGCAAAGGCTTTCCGGAGACCACTGATGGGCGATTCCTTGCCCGAGATGGCGCCCTTGTAGTCGGCTTCGAGGAGGATGCCCATGCTGTGGACGACATAGTCGGCGCCGTTGAGCAGAGGAGCATACGTAGCCGGACGGAGAATATCGCCGCGCTCCCAGCTAACCTTGTGTGCCCACGGAGGGGGAGAAGGGGACGAGGTGATGGTGTCCCATCGGGGGTCTCCGGAACGGCTTAGATGAGAGATGAGCTTATGATGTGTGGTGGTGAACTTGCGAGAGGCATTACCTGATGGAAGTCACATCCCAGCCTCTTGCCACAGCATATTTGCAGATTCGAGAGCCCAGAAACCCGGTTCCTCCGCAGACGACGAGCTTCTTTGTCGCAGACATGTTGGTGTTGGTGTTGAAAGTGGTGTGATGTCAGGGTTCACCCGGAGCTAGGTCGAGCTTCAGAGAGCTTTTAAGTAAGAATAAAATTGGACCAGCTGCTGGAGGAATATGAGGAGCAACTGAGACAAAATCGCCAAAGGTGTGACGTGCCAATTGAACCCTACGGCCGAGTCCCAGTAAATATTGAGCACTTCCCGATGGGAGAGAGAAATCAATGAAATCATCATCGGACCTCGAGGCTGTGAAGTCTTTGTGGCTTGCGTCTGTACTAAGCGATTATTGGCTGAGACAACTGTGGCGCAACTCAACAATCAGTCGCAAGGCTGACGCCCGTCGCCAATTCTTTCTTCTACATTTCATCTCTTCATCACCCGGCCATCTCCCATTATCATCCATTTCTAATCGCGCGGGCGCATACCTCTTCTAGGGAAATAACTACTACACCATGGCGCCTCAAAATCAGCTAGGAAAGCGCGTCAAGCTGACGCAAGTCCGACGACCCTTCATCGTTGGAAGCACCGCCAAGCCCTTCTCAGATACCAACCCGCGACCAGCAGGCATCCCCGACATCCACACACACTCCTGGCAGGTCTTTGTGAAGGGCCTCGACGATACAGACATTACATACTGGCTACGCCGCGTGCAATTCAAGCTCCACGAGTCGATCCCTAACTATGTGCGAAGTACGATCTCGATCCACCACTCTATGCGCGCGACGAGACTAACGGCGAAATAGTGGTTGAAGGAGAGCCTGGAAAGCCATTTGTAGTCAACGAGACGGGATGGGGAGAGTTCGACATCACTCTCAAGCTCTACTACGTTAATGACTCGGGCGAGAAACCCCAGACACTGTACCATTACCTCCGCCTGCATCCTTATGGGCGGAACGAGGAGGAGAAGCAGGCCATGGTCGCGTCAAACGGCGAAATCCGAGCATGGAGCTACGAAGAGCAGCTTTTCAACGAACCCTACGAGACATTCTACAACATCCTTACACAAGGCGCCGTGCCCAAGGGGTGGAAGCCGAGCGGCGGCAAAGGCAAGGGTAAGACGCGCCTACCGCCACCGCCTCCTACCGATAGCAACGAGGTATGGGAGCGCTCAGCGATGATACCAGCGCATAACAGGCCAGGACAACCCTTCAGCCTCGAGACGGAGGCAGCCGAGATCCGGAAAATAGCAGATGCCCAGGCCCAGGCCGAAGAAATGTCCAAGAAGATTCTGGCCGAGCTCAAGTCAAAGGAGGAGATGCTTGCCAAGCTCAAGGCGGAGAATCAGGCTGCTGCTGCCGCGAACAAGTCTTAGACGGAAGCGGAAACGGAAAAGAAAGCAGAGAAGCCGGGAAAGGGCAGAAAGAACAAGAACCACCACTGGTAGATCACAGCTTGAACCCGACAGCACGCATCATGGATTGTTGTTCAGGCGCCAACATGATACCCGACTGCGTTGTGGAAACTCGGAATTAGGGGGCATGTCCGTTTACAAGATCCCACTTCCCACAATGAGTCAACAGACGGCGTCATTCCCAGGCTTTGACGTTCGATTGGACGTCGTCTTGCGAAGTCGGCATGAGATGTGCCAACTCATCAAGCTCTGGTCCACAATGGACGCCAGGGGTTGACAGTGGAGGTCATGAGGAAGTTGTCAAACATGTTGACAAGTCAGGGGTTGAATCAGGAAGTACGCTCCTGAAAGCGGTGCACATGGGATAGACTGGGCGCTTAGAAGAGAAGAGAGTTTGTTGCATGTGTTTCCTTAGACCGCCATGTCACAAGACAAGACTTGACACTGAGTCATCGTATGGTGAGAATCTGGAGTAACGTCACAAGAAGCATCGCCAGGTAGCCCAAAGATCTTTGAATCATGTGAATTGGAGTTGTCTCTGCAGCAACACAAACACTTTGTGGGTGCTACCCAACCCGCCCTTCCGGTTAACCCTTTTATCCCATACCATGGGTTTTGTGCCTGTTGATATCTCGGCCATTCCCAGTCCCAGCCTACCTCACCAGTCCTACTCCATAACCGTTCATCAAACACCTTGTACCAAGCCATGTGTGCAAACCATCCTCCTGGGACCCGCGACCAACCCAAAAACACAAAGGTAACCATATCCAGTCGCACCCTGCGCGACCCCTAGAACTCTTATAGTGTGATGCTATCGGCTCACACATGTAGAATGGACCACAAAGGAAATAAAGACAGTATCCACGCCCCAGCCTGGCCGGTCATAACTCGTGATCCGGCCCACCTTTTTTTATCATCGCCTCTTCCAACGCCCGTTGCATGTACCAAAAGAAAAGCTGGGTCAGGTCGTGTCCAAAGCCTGAAACCCTCCAAACACCGGCGCCTGCGAAAAAGAATGAAAAGTAAAGAAAAGATCTAAAGAATGGAGAGCGGTATATACTGATGCTCATGATCCGCAATTTTATCGAGTAGCGGCTTCGTATGCTGGTGGTGGCATATCTTCGCGCTCCTCCCAGTTTCCGCGTTGTCGGTTTTTCTCGTCGTAGACGCGTTTGGCAATTTCGCCCGCCATCTTCATGATCCAAGCTTGTTCGAGAATGACAGACGAATTCTCTGAACTGGTGCTTTGATTTTCCAAGATGAACGCCTTGTCCTTTCCTGCCTTGGTGCCGATAGTGGCAGCCGTGGCTGCAAAGCTCGGAGGTTCAGGGGCTTGGTCAGAAACCAAAAGGGGTTCCCTCTGTTGGGATTTTTGGAACTCTGCCATCAGCGGAGGAAGGCCCGTATCCTGCACGCTTCTGAATCGAACCTTGGCCGGAGTGGGCGCTTCGGCAATGACAGAACCATTTGTCTCTTCAGGAATAGATTCGTCAAGAGCAGGCTCCGACAATGGAATGTTGAGGGATTCGGTCTCTGAGGCCTCGCTGATAGTCTCTGGGGTAACCGCCTCTGACTTGGTTTGCCTCAAATTGACCACTCTTGTCTTCTTCTTGCGACCTGCCCGTGATCGGCTGCCATGTCCAAGTGACAGGCCAGTTGTAGCTGAATTCAAACTGACGAGCGAGGGTCGAGCTGGGAGATGACCGTGCGCAGTACTTCCGGTATCGGAGAAGGTGTATGTCGTAGAGGTGCCAGCAGGGAACGAGTAGGTCTTGGTGAGAGAGGGTGTTGTGATTGATGGCGTTGGCGCTTCAGAACGACCGTCGTGCCCTGTCCAAGCACGGAAGACCACATCGCGAATGCCCGGAGTGAAGAGAGATAGAGTGCGGTGGGAGTCTGTCAAGGCGGCAAGACGTAGCAGGTTTTTCTGCGAAAACAGAGATTTGACCTCGCCGCTCCCATTCAGTGTAAGCTCCGAGATGGCGTTGGGGTCGAGGAGATTGCCGTTGGCATCGACAGGGTCCTGCGGGGGACTTGCCAGAGGGTCGACACCTGCTTCATCTTCCGTCTCCTTGGGGGTTTCGGTTCCCTTGTTGGCTTGATCGGGGCACCATAGTTGAAGGGACAATCTGTGAATAATCGCGGGTAACTCGTCCATCATGAGATTTCGTAATTGCTGTTCGATGGTCCTTTGTAGATAATCGCGAACGAACTGTATCGAGTCGAAGGTCGACGAAACTTTGAGGGATTCGAGTGGGTCATTGCGGAAGACAAGGGTCAGACCCTTTTGCTTTGAAAAGACGAGGATGATGAACGCCGAGAGTTTAATTTCAGACAAGGTGATCGAGAGTGGAATGGTTAGGCCTGACGCAGCGGCCAAGGGCTGAGGGGAGGTGAAAGTCGGCTTCGAGTATAGGTACGTGTTTAGCGGATTGGCCTAGAATTGCCGAGTTAGTGTGAGTCTTAAGAGCATTGCATGAACGAAATCGGAGCTACCAGGCGCTAACACGCCCGCATGTGACAACGCATTGAATGAGCCCAATGCGCATATCGCAATCAAAATGAGGTGGTATCCGAGAAATGCAATGTGCTGGGAGAGGAAAGTCGAGGAATGAGGGGAGATAGTGGGCTTGTGCTGGTGCAACATGGCTTGGCTGAACTGAGGGGTTCGTGATGTTGAGCGACCCGACATGTCCACCACCAGAAAATGGTGAGAAGGGATGCAAGACGCGAGTAGCGATCCCGCAGATGTCCCTGCCGTTGTGCTTTGGGTATTTCGAGTGTTGTGTGTTGTGCGCGACGCTGAGGCTTCCCAGTGGTCGTCGCGTGAGGCGTTGACGATATCGGATATGACGGAACAAAGAGGGACATACTTGAACTCTGGTCTTGAGCGTCAAGAAAGCATCACCAGAATAAGTCATCTTGAAGATGCCCCGGAACCTATCCTCTGCCAAGTCGCCAATTTCTAGTATCTCGAGGTCGGGGGGCACGGTGCCGAGGTTGAACTCGCTGACGAGGATATCGTCGACAATGATGGGCGGTTTGGGGCTCTTGTTCAGCGCCTTGGTCAAAAGGTCGCGCGCACGACGGTAGAAGTCGGCATCAGCCGTCAACGGCGACCAGTTGAAGTTGAAGGCCATGTTGAAATGGCTTTCACCTTCTCACAACCATGGATAGAACAAAGAGGTGCCGTCGAGTCGGCAGCTGTGACGAAATCGCGAAGCGGGCGAAGCACTGACAAGGGCGCGCGTGCTAGATGGAGCTCGTGTCGAGGGGCAAAAAAACAAATCGATCGCGAACAAGCGAGGGGAAGGTTTGGTTCGTCGTCGGCTAGGGGATTTCGAAACGAAGTCGGCGGGCGGTGAAGGAAATGGAAATGGAAAGCAAAGGTGAGACAAGAGGAGTCGGCGGTGAGCGAGCTCGACAATGAAGGTGGGTGGCTAGAGGACGGCGGCGATAGGTATAAAGAGGAGAGAAAATAAATCAGGATGGATGAATGGATGGTTTGGATCGTGGAGATGACGCTACAGGATCTCCCGGGGCCAGAACCTCAAGGATGATTGGGGGAGCCGAGGCCGAAGTGGGGAGCTCGGGACAGCACCGCACCTGCACTGCAACAATTTTTTTCACTCAGGGCTTGACACGGCCAATACCACAGACGCTGGAGGTAATATTAGTGGGTATGGGTTTGAGGTGTCTTAGCGAAACCGTCAGAGGGCCGCTGAAAAGAGGCGGTCTTGGAGGCTCGAGCCCCTGGATTGCAGCTGTAGGGTTCCAAACTTGGATTTTTGGCTATGTGAGGGATTTGGTTGGTCCGTTGGAGCCGGCGGAATGGCAGGGTCTTGTTGTTTGTTTCTCGGAGTTTAGCGGCCGAACGGAGTTGGCGCGGAGTTCAAGATGTCCAGTATAAAATCTGTGGGAGAAGAGGTGGTCCAAGCAGACTGAGGCAGAGCAGTTCGTCGGATCCAAGCAATAAGAGGCGTTTCAATTTGAATTGTTAATGCAGTGAGCGGCAGTCGAGGCAAGGTAGCCCTAGATGTGCAGCACAGCAAAGCAATGTGTGCAGAGCTGCGCAACGCAAGGTTCGCCGATGGACTCGGGCGCTTCGCGAGTTCCCGAGGAGGCGTCCTGCCGTGCTGTAGCCGGAACGGTGGCCGAGGAGCTGGGCTGGAGGCCCACAGGATTTCGTCAGTAACTTCAGCCGGGCCGGGGACTAGTCGCGTGACCCCGTCGTTGTCAGTGAGTTGGCGCGTCTCTTATTGAAGTGAGGAGAAAAAGAAGAGGCGGGCGCAATTGTGCTGTGCGCAGACGTAGTGTGTGGTACGGAGACACATCAATTGGGCTTTGTCAAGTACATCAAGTCGAGAACAATCTGTGCGACAGAATCGTTAACTTTGTATAATTCCTGACGCTCCCGAACTCACTCGCCCCCCGTCCTCCTCATGCGAACGTGCAGCATTGAAATTTCGCTTCTCCCCACTGCCGATGCATCCTTCCCTCGAGGTGCGGCGTCACAATCAGATGATGGCGCCTTGCACCTCTTGTGAAGCCGTCTCGTGGGTCGACGAATGCATCAGGTGGTTCGATCTTCATCCAGACTTTCTGGGGAAGCGAAAGAGTTTGCTTACGCGAAGACCCCTAAAGATCAAGAGTTTCTTTTTCTGGTAAGGCATCGCCAAAACCATCTGGCCAAGGTATGATTTTCGTTAAAACACGGGCCAGCGGCTCTCTCCGGAGTCCTCCGATCCATCCCACTTGTCGGGACACCGGCCTCTGGTCAGCTCTGCAAGCACTTCCACCAACGACTAACCTTGGATAAGAATGACCGGGAGCGGGAGCAGGTGTTTGCGCGGGCATGAACGGAACCAGGAGGCAGGGCAGTTTGAACTGAAGAAGTCCAGTAGATTGGCTAGCTACCTTGGGTAGGGCTCGAACTGCAAGCCAGTGCGTTCTTCTCAAATGCATTGGATCTTGCTGAGAGTCGTATTGTAAAACCTCGTCAATGCGTGATTTGGTCATGTGCCATGGGGGCAGCGATAAGCACCTCCTGCCTCCTCCTTTACCCCACGGAGAACCTCCGCTTGCCCTCCTCTACGGTCTCGCCCACCATCACCACCGCCTCCACTAACGGTCGGAGCGGTGCTACGTTTTTGAACATGTAAGGCACCCGATTCTGGTGAAACACTAACCCTATCACCTGACGAGTCGACTGGGCTTCACATTCGTTCTTTTCAACATGGGCTTCTAAAAAGAGAAATCGACACGAACAGCTATGTGACGGCATCTTGGGTCACAGAGGCCTTTGTGCTACCCCAGCCTTTGAATAATCTCCGAATCCGTTGTGTCTGGGTCTGCTCGACCAAATAAAGAGTGTTACACATCAATCACTCGAATGCAGAATTATGACGCCCCGGGCGCTGCCTTTGTACTACAACAAATGCCTCGCTGGGTCAAGTCACGGGAGCCAGTGCGTGCGTTTACTGCGCATGCTACAGCTGCACCATCACAGTGCGCTACGCATGTTTCCAGTCGTCTGGATAGAATCAGTTCTGTGAGCGAGTTGAGACTCCACGTGTAAGTCTAGGAAGTGGGCAAGTGTGCCTAACGTCTGTTAGGGCACGCGCTAACAACTCCACGTCGATGATCCCAAGCGGGAGGCCCCAGGAGCCAACACGGCCTGCGCCCTACGCGACCGAGACATTGGAGGAGCGGCATCGCAATGGATCAGTTATTCTGTCATAGGGATGCCCAAATCCCATGATCACCGCCGAGCCGCGCACCTCAAACCACTGACAGCTGCGTTTGAGGCCAAGCCGGTACCTCATCATGGCGCGCATCAATCACCGCCAGCTTGCGTGACATCATCCCCTCCGGTCATGGCCGAGACCGACAAAAGTAGTCAACCTCGTGCCCGCTTGAGCCCCAAAGTCGGAACCGGGGCACCAGCCAGTTGGGAACAGCAGAAGCCCGGACACGGCGGTTTGAGTCATCCGTGGCGGCGGCTCAGCAGCTTTTGTCTCTGCCACGACCGCTGACATTGACGCTGAGGTTCTGCGTTGTCGGTACCCGTCGGTGCTGCTGTTGTCATTTTTGTCTCTCTGTGCTCCGTGCGTCCAGACAATCAAGGGTTCCAGGGTTCCAGGGTGTCTGTCAGAGGCGCCAGGGTGCAAGGGCTGAGAGCCAGCCAGGGGATCGCCACCAAGGAACGCCCTTGTGCACAAGGCCCAAATGGCACATCGTGGCCTCGTACAGATGGGACCAGGGAAGCTGTCAGTGAAGCACGATCCCACACATTGACTAAACTGGACGGCAATCTGGGCGGGTGTTCCCTGTTCGACCGGTTTCTTTGGCCTTGGTCTCTGGACGGACCTTGACAGCCCCAGCCAGCCGTCCGTGTGTGATGTGATGGATTCTGCTGGGCTCTCTGATGCATCATAGCAGGCCTCACGGCACTTGGGCCAGTATCAACCCCACGAATGCCTCGGCTCTTAATTGTCGCAGCCCAAGTCAATGGGACCAGGCGGCGCCACAGCAGTGACACCAACGTCCAGCGCCCCTCAGACGGTCGCATCAGGTGCAGATGCAGGCGGCGCGCAGGACGAAAGAAGACCGTGAGACTCCCACGCTGGGCCATCCACTCGCGTCCCCCAAGCTTGGATCGATGGCTTGCTGGTCCTGGCCCTGGGCCCTGGTTGGTCAGAGGCGTCGCCTGCTTGCTCGCCATGCTTGCTGCCAGAGGCGATGACTGGCATTGGCGCTCGCCCTAGTCCGGGTCCGGCCCCATGGTGGAGGGGCCCTAAAAACCTGTGCGTCACCATCCCAGATCGAATCGTCGACTTTTCTGGCGCGACGGCGGGCGACACGAAGGCTATGGCCTGTGGAAGGTGGACTTTTGGGCTCGCTGGCACCCACTCCGCGCCGCCGCTGGCGACCAAAAGACCCTGTGCCTCGCTCGCGGGGTTGCTGTGCTCTGTTTCTCCCCATCCTCGTGTGTCGATTTGTCTGTCGTCGGTCGTCAGTCTGCATATCCACTTGCTTGCTCTGTACTGTAAATGGTGTTGCTGCGGTGGAGGCGTCTGCCAACGGAGACCATGCCAACGGCGGTTCTCCCCTAAAAGCAAACCGAAGCAATAAGGGGCACCAGGACAGGAAGACGAGTTTGTCATATCATATGGCCTTGCCCTCCAGTTTCATTCGACCTGAATTGTTGTACACCTCGTTCTCATCATTCACCCCCTGCCACGCATCAGAGCCATCATGACGATCATGTCGTCCTGCTAGGAACAAGACATGGCCTGTTGCGAGTCTCACGACATCGACCCCTTACTCCGAGATCTTGTTCAACCGCACCTAACAACGTCTGTCTTGCCATCGTCAGCAGAGACCTCAGACTTAGACATACAGCACACGTACATGGTTGTGGCCTGGACTGCGTTTCCATCCATTGCAGTCAGTGTAGCGCGGGGCATCGCGACGCATCCACGCATCGTGTCCTCTGTCGCTCTGCTTGACTGCCTCCGGTTGCCTTGTCCGCCTCAAATCACGAGGCGACAGACAGCTCTACAGCCTTAAAGTCAGAGTGGCGGAGCGGGATCCCCCAGGTTAGGGTCACCGCCGGAACGCCTCTTTTACACATTCAACTCCCGTCAACAGCTTCTTCACTGTTCTCACCAACTCTAATCTCTCACCATCTTAAGGCGACAGCCGCGACTACTGCCGAAACAACGTCACATCGCATACAAAGACAGGCTACTCGAGGTCCAGAACCGCAGACACAAAGGGCGGAACCAGACAAAGACGCAGATTCGAATGCAGTTCTAGAGCGTGACCCGGCCTCAGAAGCAAGTAAACGTTGGTGCAGCAGCGAGCGCAGGCCGTGAGCCCGGCTCTATTTCACCACATCAGCTCGGGTTACTTTATTAGCCTTGCTCTTACATATCATCGCTCTTCCCCTACTGTCCCTCTCCTTCTTACTCATCCTTTACATCTACCTTCCTGGTTGACAAGTCGACTCATCACTTCTCCCACCTCATATACACCTCAATCCTCCCCCATACCACCAACTCTCCCCCTCCTCTCCCCACCAAAAACGCGCGACATAGGTGGCTTGAATGTGCCTTGCAGGTCACCTGCAGAACCC